TCATACTGAAGGTGGTTTCCAAAAGGAGGATGATGGCATGGGCCATGATGACCAATATTTCCAAAAGGAGGATGATGTCATGGGCCATGATGACCAATATTTCCAAAAGGAGGATGATGTCATGGGCCATGATGACCAATATTTCCAAAAGGAGGATGATGGCATGGGCCATGATGACTAACCCCCTTTATGATGCTGTATCCACATGGATCTTTACGCATTAGGCAATCCATCGTTCCAAGAGTCACTACTGGGTCCCCTTTCTGCCAGTGGCCAGAAGAATATATAATGGTCCCACCCAGAGGGTCCACGTCAGCTACCTGGAATTTAGTTAGGTTCTGCAAACAATACAGCTTCATAGTAACAGGATCCCCTTCTAGGGTTGACAAATAGTGCATTCAGAGGTGCCTTTATGTACATCACTGTTGTACTGGGTTATTATTTTTGCACTTGTGGCCTTCCTATTAGCCTTAACGAGTCTGATCATTATCCTCTGACCCCTCTCATTAACAAGGTGTTTTTGGTGACAGAATTGCTGCTGGCTAGATGTTTCTTGTTTATGGTACCATCTTCTGTGAATTGTAGCCACTGCAGTATATAAATAGGGGTGGCCCTTTCTAACTCGCCAAAATCACTATGTCTGACACCAACAATCATACCACATTCAAAATGACTTAGATCATGTGTCTTATACTCAGTAAGCTACACAGTAACTTAATCTCTTGACTTTGTCTGCACGCTGTAAATATTCAGTTACAAGCATATGATTTGCTTGTTTGGAATTCCAGGCGTTTTTGTGGTTATGAGCAGGTGCACATGGTAAAGTGGCTACTGGTTGTGTTTATGTATGAACATCTGTCGATACAGGGGTGCCTGTAATGTCTTGGCATTCATACTATCTATCTATCTATCTATCTATCTATCTATCTGTCTGATTTTTATTTTCCTTACATGTGAAATTTTTGAAAGAGACATTGCATGAAAGAACATCACCACTCCCCGGCTTGAATACTTACCTCCTCCCCCAGCCTGACCACAAGATACTGTGGCACCTAAAGACTGAGGGCACTCTGTCATCACATTATCCGTTTGTCCCCTAAATCTGGGGCCCTGATGCAGTGCAAAAAGATGACATTCTGGAGGTGAAGTAGAATGAAAAGCAGCATATAGTAAAACCCCAGAAGGACTGGACCTCAATCATCACAACCATAAAAAATTACACTTCTGCATAAGCCTGGGGATGATAAGGATGATCCAGTGCTTCGGTCCAACCGAGTGTGGAATTCTTCTTCAGGTACTTCTGCAGGTTCTTCCTCCATAGTGTATGTGTCCCTATATAACATTATCACTTGGTAGAGATGAACTTAGTGCTTTGGATATTCCCACAATTGCCTTTTCATTGACATGCAATGATGTGCAGGATAACAGGATTTATTAAACAAAACCTAAAAATGGCTCAGTAATCATAGCTTTGATAATTCTAAACATTTCATTGAATTTGTAACATATTGGCATTGAGTTTCTTTGAAAGGTCTGTTTTAATGGCACACCAGCAAAGATCCTAGCCAGTCTAGTACAATCAAATATTTACCAAATGTTCTATTTCCACCAAATGCTTTTTATTATTGTGTCAGTAAAAATGACAGTTGTCAAACTTTCAAAGGAGTGTGGGAACCCAGAAGTGTCAAGGCTGTGAGATCTTTTCATCAGGAAGTGAATACTAATGCCGACCATGAAGCGGGAGAGGGGGTATATAGCCAAATGAAAATGGCTACTGTCTCATGTAAAGGTGTCTCAATCCAGCTGTGTCTCTCTAGAGTTACCAATCTGTATTTTTCAGTAATAGCACCTTGGTCGTGTAGCTCCAGGCACCTTGTGTAATATTGTTTTTAATCTTGTTGATAGCTGCTGTTAAGGATGTTTTCTTGTCCCTCCCCCATAAAAAAACTGTCCCCCAAATGCTTACTGATGCTTCATAAATTGTGTTTTTTGGGGTGATTAACGCAGTGCCTGTCATTCACTACATCAATGTATCAATCAAATTATCGTTTGATTCAGTCTGTAAGTCAAGGGCAAGTCACTTCCGTCATCCACAGGCATTCAGAGAAGAAGATTATAATCACTAGTTTTTAATGTTGACCTGGATCTCTTGCAGGTGTGATATATTTTTTATGTGATTATTACTTTTAAAGGTATAATAACAATTACAGTTTTCTGTTTTCCCATGTGCAGGAAAATATTCTCTTTGATTATACAATTAGTTCTGTGAAAGGTTTCAGTGTAAGTTTTTTTAACAGGTGTATTTATCCTGATAACTGAACACAAAGACAGTCTCCTGCTGTCTCATTTCTTTTTATCAAAGCCTGAAAACATTGGCTGTTGGTAACATTTTATATGTTCAAATGAAAACACTTGTGATCGATGCAAAGGCAAATCCATAAAATATAAGAAAAGAAACCTCAGTGACCATTGTACACATTGTATATCCTTTCAGATCTGCTACCTTCCTCTGCTTGATTTTGAATGAAAATACAGAAGGGGGGATATGACTGACCTTTAAGACACTCTGGAGTGTCATTCATGCTTTTTCTTTCTTGGTAGGAGTTAGCTTTTGCTAATGGATCATGAATGCTTGCGAAGTGTTGACTGCTGTGCTATCCCACTGCAGGTTTAATAATATGAATGTTCCCTACCTTGCACTTCTAATCAAATGCATTTGAATGTCAGGTTGCTGGATTTTATATCAACAAAAGAGGTTTAATTCAGACCAGACTCCAGTGACAGGCACCTATTTAAAAGCATTTCACTTAAAAGGAAAGTAAAAGAAATAAAGACATTGACAAAACACTGCAATTTTTTAGATATTGATGCCTGGTTGTATTATCATTACTTGAGAGCATAAGTTAACAGTTCAGTATTTATTTTGCACATAAAATCAGGAAAATTCTAAGCTTTCTTTGTTAAAATTCATAGATTTGACGAATCTTCTATCAGGGATAGAAAGGAAAACTATAAAATCTCATAGGATTGGGTGATGGCATTTCTCATGTCCTGCGAGATGTCTAGAAAAAGCTAGGTAGAATTTCACGATGGCATTTAACAATCTTTAAAAAGCCAGCATTGATCACAGAGAGAAAAATATCAAAATCTAAATACAAGTCTGTGAGGCAGACTGAGTCGGCGCTGACAGACAGTTTTTCAGAGTTTCAGGTTCCACAAGAATTTAGTGTCACAAGGAGCACACTGCGGGGTCCGACCAATTGACAGACTTCGCAATATTCAGCTGGTCAGCAGACTTAGTCTCTTGATGACCCTGGTGCTGAAATCACCATAAGGTGCTCTCAGTGGGAGAAAACAGGCTTTAGAGCTTCTGCTACTTTGATTAGCTGTCCACATGTCATGTTCGGTTTAGCATCTAGCTTACCCATGAATAATTAATGTTGGACTGCGACACTGTGCAGCCCATACAGTATATGGTCATTTCTGCAGAAATTATAATAGGGCCATTGACATGCCACACCAGGCTGGCCGATTAAGAGTGCAGTTTCGAAACTGACCCTAGATGGGCTTCCTGCAGCATAAGGCTGAATGTAACACGGTACCGGCACCGGTGCTGCGCTCAACTGCAAGGAGGACTGGTCAGCGGCACAGAGGCCTGTCTAGTCCCTTGACATCTGCCCTTCAGAACTGGAGCCAGTCTGAGGTGGACAGGGAGAGTGCCACTTAGGTAGCTCCCGCTCAAAATAGCACACTTTTCCCCGTTGATCCTGTTCTTAACATAGGTGATGCTGAATATCGCAAAGAATCTTTCTTTTACTTTTGAAAAATGTAAAATTACAAGTCAGTACCAACAAAAGTTTCGTTTTTTTCTCTTTTTAATATTCCATATTTTATACCTCATCAGCTGTGATTCATATTCTTAAATCAAGAGCAGAAGCAATCTCTGCATGCTTTATAACGATATCCACATGTTAATTGCTTTTATCTGTGACATTTTTGTCAGTAAAGAAAAACCAGAAAAGAGAGTTTCTGTTGAACAATAATCAAGGCAGCAATCCTTGAATTATATTCAGGTGACTTTATGCATCCTTGTTTGTTGTGGCATATATTCTAAGAACACTATTTTGCACACAATGAATTGAGAACCTGGACCTCTGTGAGACATGTACTTTCCAATTTGTATTTGAACACTGTGGGGAGTAAAGCTTATGTGACTTGCATACTGACAGTTTGTTTCTGTTAGCATTTAAGATTCACCTGCATGTGTTCCCAGTTTGTCAGTCTAACAAGGTGTGTAAATAATTAAAAATTTGATATCAATTGATACAGATTTCTACGACAGTAAACATCATATAACAAACATTAATCAAAATGTGTGAAATTCCCCTCATTTATGACTAATTTCATCAAACAATCTGGAAGAAATATTTGCTAACACCAGTTACATACAGGGAAAATTGAACACATAAAGCTAAATTAATTAGTGTCAGTATGGTACTCATCCTCATTTTCATCTTCAAATCACTTGTCCTGGTGATGGTCACAGTTGAGCATATATCTTTAAATAAATTCTTTTGGAAAATAATCATGCCATTAAAATCAGAAATAATTACAAACCATAACTGAATGTAATATATCTCATTTTAATGTTCATGATATGCTTGTCATTACTGCACACCTTACAAATGTCAATTTTCAGCTTTCATTTAAAGAATAGCAGTAGTTTAAATTTGTGTCAGTCGTTTTCTTCGGCGTTAAAACTTAAAACATCAATAGTAAATGTTATGGGAGTATGGAGCAGTTTTTTTTTTCTTTTGTAAATATCCTAAGTGAGGCTGATAAAATCAGTACATGTCATCAAATTATAGATACTGTAAATGTTGGAAAAAGACACAATGCTGAAGTGACTGCATTTCAGTCCATTTGTAAAGCAGGTTAGTGTACAAGAACAAGCAGAACTTGTCTACTGTTTGCATTGATTTAAGATCTCTTAAGTCAATATGTGTTTTTCCATCTATGCTAGCCAATGTATATTTCTTTTACAATGAATGTTCTGTCAAAAAAACCAAAGCATTCCGGTCTTGAGCCCAGGCTGCTGTTCCTCCGGCCAGACAGGGAAAGCAAATGGTCAATTAAAAAAGAAAATGGAATTCTTCAAGCATGTGCCGCACATCCCTGGACTGGAAATAGTCTTGTTCTCAGGATGAATGTTGCTGATGTCTGTAGTCACGCTTGTTGCTGTACACAGGGATGAAGATCACAGATGTATCTACAGTGTCTCTGGACACAAATGAAGCACTAGTGAACTGAACGGAACATGCCAACAAAGAACGTTACACAAATGTCTTTCTGAAGGACACTGACTGAGCTACACATGGACCCATTGTTCCTTTGGCTCCCATCAGACGGGGGAGGAAAAGCACAAGATGCGACCATTGTCCAGACAGGTTTTTTTTTTGTGCAAGGAGTGTTTGCCACTCTCGCAGGGTTAGAGAGCTGGCGGAGGGCAGAGGCTGAGATCCACAACAGTCCACCCAGAGACTATCCAAACATTAAAGCTTTGGAATTCAGATGCGTACTTCAGTTGAGGAAACAATGTATCTCTCCATTGAATGTTCCATTGTATGTTCCATCGTGCCCCACTACTCCTGTATATCATTTATGAAGTTTAAATGGACAAGACAGAGGGCACTCACACCCGGTATAGAGCTGTTGATCAAAATCTATTATCCTGGGTGGGAAATCCTTGGCAAAATATAGCCTCAGGCAAGCTGGATTTTTCCCTAAAATCAATGCTGTCTTTTAATGATGACCTTGTGTGACCACCTGCAATATGTAGCCCTTGTCAGCGATGGATCTTGTCCATATGTCTTTGAAAGATGTCTTCATTATGTCCGCTTGTTAATCTACAAAGACAAAAGAACAATAAATGTTTTCAATGAGGAAGCTGTAGAACTGTGTGTTATAATTAAACTCTGGTGTGTTGAAAAAACAGTAATGTATATATATATTACATTAGGTGTGATTCTTAACATTTAACCCCTGTTGTTGCACAGTACTGGAAAAAAAGTACTGGGAAATTTTTTTTTATAAATAACAATTTTTTACGCTGGATTTCAACAATTCCAAGAAAGAATCTTTGACGAATGGACAAATCAACAAAACATCTTGAGGCTAGTTGCTTATTTTATGTTTTGACTACAAACAGCAGTTTTGCAAGAGGTAATGTGCTTAAACAAATTATTACAAAAATAATTATTCAGACTTATAATCTGAACAAGATTTATTGTCAAGTTATGAAAGATGTCATTATTATAATTATGTAAAGTGATTACATTTCTATATTTTTATGGAAATAAAATGCAAAAAAATAGATCAAATTACCGCTATCAAAACGTCAAATTAAATCAATTTAATATATACTGTAGCACAGTTCTTTTGTGCCTAACCTACAAAAACTAATTATTCATTAATGTTTTACATAAAGGGTTGAAAACATGGTTGTCTACTTCATAATATATGTAAACAAATTCCAAAGATTTTTTGTCTTTTTTTATCTTTTTACCTGTGTCTAGTAGATGTTAGGCAATTTCTTATGTGATACTTAGTGATTTCTTTTTGCGCAGTGGGTAGATGCAAATGGCAGTTGTCTTGACTCATATTTACTTGCAGTTTACTTTGCTCATTCCGAACAGTCAAAGTTGTTCACATTTTCTCAGCACGGCACTCCTCCCAATTCTTCAAATCTTTTGAGAACTTGCCTTTTTTTTTCCTAATCTGCAACTCAACTGATGGTGAGATGATAGGAGAGTCGAAGGAAGAACTGCAGGTACCACCTATTGTTTGAAACTTTAATCATTTTAGCATAGGAGTTACAGGGAGGTAGCCAAGCCCAGTGTTCCATCCAGCACCACAGCCTGCTCCTTGTCATGTTTGAAGGATTACAGAAACCAAAAGAATTTAACTAAATGTGGAAAATTATATACATACTATATATATATATATATAAAACATGTGAGAGGGCATGGTCATTTCAGAGCAAGTGTGAGGTCAGAGACTAACCCCTCTATTCATGTATAATCAGTTTATAGTTTTATGTAGTGAATTAGGCTTTATGTAGTGTTTGGGGGGTGGCTGGGAGCAATGGCCCAGTCCTCGGGGGGTGTACTGGTTGCTCATTTCAGCTGGAGAACACAACCCACATTTGCATATTGTTTGGTTCGTTTACTTATTCGTACTATGCGGCTGCCAAATAAAATCCAGTCCTTGTATCCTGTGGATATGGTTGCCATCTCAAAGGTAGGGAATTTTTCCACACTATCTATCTTTTTAAAAAAATCTTGAAAATGTAGTTCTGCTTGTCAATGGAGAGGAAAAAAACAACTAGTTGGTGTGTTCTGTGTTTTTTCTATCAATACTGATGTAATTCTAAGAAAGCTCCTTGAAACAGCATAATGCGCAGACGCTTACTGTCAGAAATTGCAGCAGGACTCTTGATTCCACATAAAATGTATTTAGCCAAATTACTGACAGTCTTATCCTCTTTAATATGCTTTTAATGAACCATGCATCTGAGTGATCTCAGTCTGGATTGCTGTTAAGAATAAATAATAGGACATAATAAACTGGAAACAGAGCATAACCAGCTGGTTTTCTTAATTTTTTTTTTACAAATGTACATAAATCTAAATTTATAGATATGCAGAACCCATCTGAATGAATCACAGATGCTTTAATTATATTTTTCAAAATATCATTCACGTCCACAGTAAGTTTTCTGAGATGATAATATGTTATTCAAACATGACTGCTGAAGACCAGACATTATTTGTGTCATGTCCCTGCCCGTCTCCTCCCTGTCATGGGCCTAACAACCCATGCTGTTACTCGCTTGCCCCCCTTGTCTTGCCTCTTGTTCCAAACCCAAATGTGGAGCTCACTCCCAGCTGCCTCTTGTTCCATACCCCAATGTGGAGCTCACTCCCAGCTGCCTCTTGTTATCCTCTTGTTAGTCTTTGTACTTAAGAACCTGTTTGTCTCATCATTCCCAGTCCAGTCATCGTCGTCGCACCTTCTTGTTGCTTGCACCCTCCCTTGTTCCAGTCCTCCCATTTTGATCCCTCACAATCCTGTTTCTTTCCAGTCTCTGTTCATTGAGATCAATAAAACCCCTTTTGTTTCACCACAATACCTGCTCTCTAGTGCTTTGTCCCGTAGGTCGTGACAGTTTGCATCAATGAAGATGGCAATAAGGGGCACCAACGTCACACAGCTGCTAACAATCTTGTAACATAAAATTTTAGCACCAAATTAAATGTTTTACACTTTATGTGATGAAGTTTGTAAACAGCACAGTTTAGTCATTTCATAATTTGGATCCAATTAATGAATTAATATCATAAGATTCATAGTAGGTAGCACAACATTACCGCTTTGCTGTCACCTCATGTTGGGCTGGTCGTCGAAAACAAATGAATGAATACTTTCAAATAACTGAGAGTAAATGCTTGACAAGTATTTTGCCACTGCTTCAATCTCTAGATCTCATCTTTGATTTATGTTTATGTGTCTGTTGTCATGCCCTGCCCATCTGCTCCTCCTGTTTCCTCCCTAGCATGGCCCTAATGAGCCACGCCTGTTATGGATTTATCTTACCTCTTGTTCCTGTCCATGTGTTACTCACTCCAGCTGCCTCTCATTTGCTCCCTCATTAGTCTTGTACAAAAGTACTTCCTAGTGTTCCTGTGTTCCCACGTCCTGTCATTAACAACAATCCTTCCCTGCAGTAGCTTTCTTGTTTTGACCCCTCATGGTCTGGTTTGGTTTTTCCCTGCTCCCGTTTTGATTTCATGCAAACCACTTATGTTCTTCAGATACCTGTTTTCGATTCCTTTGGCTACTGGTCATGACAAAATGACAGGTCTCAGCAAGCTACCTAGCTCTTCTCCCACCAGGGTCCCAGCTTCAAGGACCCTCTGCCCACCCCAGGAAGAGCTATCAATAATCCCCCCGAGGTCTGATCAATGCCTGTTGTTCCAGGCTTACCTAGCTCTGCTCATGAGAGAATGGCCCATCTCCAGGAGTTACAGGGGTGCACAGAAGCCCTCTCTCTGGAGTTTGATATCAAGGAGATGATGGCAAGGTTCTCTTGGAGGTCCTCACAGAAGATGTGAGCACGCTGCTCCCCGGGGATGTGGAGTCCATCACGGAGACAGAGCCCGCCAACTCCCCACCGCTGACCATGAGGCAGTCTGCCTCCTATTCACCACCAGAAACAGGACAGCATGCCACTTTTCTGGGGCCAGCTGCAGTCTCGCCACTTCTTGCAGACCTGCCTGCTGGCTCCCCACCGTTCACTGTGGAGGCAGACCCTAAAGAAGCAGACTGAACTCATGCCAGAGCTTGACCCCGAGCGCATCCATGCCACTGCTACAGCTCCGGCTCCTGGCCCAGAACAGTGCCGCCCAGTCCGTGCTCCAGACTTCTGGCACAGCGAGAGCCTGTCTCTGGCTCCACTCAGCTACAGTAGCTTCCAATCTGCCCAAGCCTTAAACTAGAAAAAGAACGCTTCCGTGCCCGGCCCAGGAGAGCCCACCTCTGTGCCTGATCCAGTGAGGGCTGCTTCGGCTGCACACCAAGCTTCTGGACCAAAAAGGCCAGCAATCCCAGTCCAGAGAGGGCTGCTTTGCTGTCCTATCTGCCTCCAGGTGTCCTGGTTGCGCCTCACTTGCCTCCAGGTGTCCCAGCTGTGCCTTGCTCACCTCCAGGTGTCCCAACTTCACTCCATTTGCCTCCAGATGTCCTTGCTTTACCCCACTTGCTTCTTGCTGTCCCCTTGGATCTGGCCCTGCTCCCTAATGTCCAGTTGGCACCTACCTCACAGTCCTCTGATGCCCATTCGGTGCCTGCCTTTCTGTCCCCTGGTGTCCAGTTGGCGCCTGCCTAGCTATTCCCTGATGCCCAATCAGCACTCGCCTTGCTATCCCATGAGGTCCCATCAGCGCTCACCTCATCTTTTCCTGTTGTCGTTCAGGAGCCCGCCTCATCTTCACCCAGGTGAGTGCCACGTAATTTCCTGTCATCGCCCAGGCACCTGCCCAACTGCAGCTGTGGTTAGGCTAATGTCTTACTCCCGACTGAAGCCAGCCTGGGGTGGTTTGACCCTGACAATGCCCAGCTGGAGGACTTGTGTGGGACAGTGGGACCCTCTGGGCCTTGCCCTTAGTCATGCTCTGTGGGCTCCTGCCTTGATTCCACATCCGCACCGACCTGGTCTTAAGTCTCGGTGCAGTCAAAGGTTGGGGTATGGAAGAGGGGCTGGCCGAGTCTCCGTCTCGAAGAGAGGGAGATGGGGGCATGCTGTTCTGGCCAGCTGCCCAGACCCAGGTCTGTCCAGAGAGGTCCACTCTGACAGCTCTCCTGCTGTAATCCAAGGGAGAGAATTCCCAGTGCCCTCCAGGTCTGGCCCTGCGGTAACTGCGGCTCCCTCCTTCTCCTGTCCCTGTCTCTGCTCTAGTCCTGCAATCCTCTCATTGTCCTCCAGCTCCAGTCCTCCAATCACCTAGTCGTCCTCCTGCTCCAATTCCACTGTCACCTTGGCACCGTCCAGTCCTGCTGTACCCTTGGCACCACCTGGCCCTGCAATCCCGTCAGGGCCATCCAGTCCTGCTGGCTCTCTGAAGCCCAAGAGGATCCGTATCTTTGAGTCAGCCCCCAGCTTCTCAGGGCTCAGAAGGATCCCCTGCCAAACCCTGTTCCCGTCGATCATGCCCCAGTTCTTGTTCCATGCTCCTGGCCTGTGTTTAGCTTGTTCAGCGCCCCCTGTGGTCCTCTCCTGTCCATTTGTCCCTGTCCTTGTGGTTCCCTAACCTATGTGTCCTGTCCTGGTGGGTATCGTTTGTCTTGT